GCAAAATAATATGCTTGAAGAAAAATGCACAGCCCATTTTTTTTTCAATAATTCGCATCAATGTGCAGTGCTATAGAATGATTATTTGCGGGTTCACATCTGGGACTCTCCACCTCACTACATTCGCAATCTCAGCTGGGTTATTGTGAAATGAGTTTAGGTGCTTCCCACAGTGAGACAGAATTCCGACAAAATTGCTTTTATTTCAAAGTTTGTTAATAATGCGACAGCTTTTTTGTACTGGACCAGGCACAGACAAATCTCAACATTATCAAGGATTCGTTACGGGTGAAAAGATCAGTTAATTAAACACATCAAATCTGTCTGAAATGTATATTCTGGAATTACCATCCATTTTTATGGAATAATGTTAAACCTATTTCAGTTTGGAGTGTTCCCCAGTGGTTTGAAAACTGGCTGCATTGCTCCATGCAGTATAATAATTGCCTGCAGACAATCTGGCAAATATTTGCCTGTCATTGTACTGTCGATCACGTCAAAAATAAAACTCCTTTTGAGCACTGCCACCATTGTCTCCTTTTACTTAAGATTAATTCAAGATGTTCTAGTTCATCAGAGGGTAATATGGTTAATTTGTCAAATGCAAACACATTTTTGATTGAGTGACGTGAGTGAAACTCAAGGTATGTTGGGTTTGTATCAATTTTCATTTGTGAAAATCTTTCTCTTCAAAAGACAAAATCTTGATTGATAAAAATACATCTTTAATATTAACAATGGGATTAATTTAGAATGGGATTGTTGTATGCTGGTAATCTGCAAAAATATCTCAATAGAGTCTTCTACTTATTAATGAGATAATTCAGAAAGTTCAGTAAAAACTTCACCTTGCTTTCTAACACATCATTCTGAGTCAAGTTGTGGAACTGCTATGTCAAAAACCCAGAATTTGAAGGTGATAGGTCCGGGAATACTGCCGCTGACAACTTTTGCTTGCAGTCATTAAATTGGATAAATTATACTGGTCACTGTTATTAGACTAAAAAATAAGGTAATGACAGCAAATTACACCAAACTTAGTCAGTCTGATTACCATTAAGATGAAACGTTGTTCAGTGAATCTTTGAACATCGTGACAATTAGAATGATTGATTTTATACTTTGCAAAGATTCCAGTGCAGAGACCTGCTTAAATGGTGCAATTGACAATTGTACTGAGCACAGAGCACATAATCTTTGAAATGCTCACTTTTCCCATTCTGCAGTATGGAGATTTGAATGCCACCCTCTGGCACTGGGACATGATGAAAAATGATGTGGAAATAGTTAAGCATGTGAATAGTGATATTGTTTCAGTGTCTATCACTGAGCTTGTATTGCCAATAAAGATAGCTGTTAGACCACCAGGTTTTACTGACTTTGTTTGGAAGCCTGCTGTCATGCTTAAGAACTGTCCACCTGTCCTTTGTAGTGGAACCCGCCCTATGTGAAATTCGATGCCAAATGAGCATTTTGTGATTAATGAAATCAACAACCTAATGACTATGACAACTGTTACTTACAGGCCTGGAAACTAAAACCTTGCACTGACAACAAATTAACAGAAATCCATGACTTGCAACTTGAATTAATTTTATGATTTTCCATCTTATCATTTGTCGTATTGAAACAAAATTGCATTAATGAAGTTGCTAAATGTCCACATTGTCTGCATTCTTGACCAGAAACTGTTCAAATTCTGGATTTTTAATAAAATGCTCTAAGGGGCCAGGGTCATCGATTGGATTGTGCTGGACATTTTACCTTGGCAACCTGAGTTTAAATCCAAACTTCAGGGTTGGAAATGCCTCTGCCCCTTGGCAACGAAGGCATCTATAGTGAATTTGAACCATCTCGGCCTATCAAAGGCTTGTCCAGCAAATAACTCAGAGGCCATGTTATCACAGTCAATGGATCTTATCTTGCCTGCCACTTGTGTTGCAAATTGAGGAAGTAGAAGATTGTGCAAGGAGACGTTCTTGCAATCAGAGGCCATTTCTCACAATGAGCCTCTTAGCAGCGAATGTGGGAGAGATTGTGGGAGTGAGGAACCTTATGAAGGCCCAAGGCCTGCATCTTTAGTACTATCTGTTGGGTTATTGAGGGGTTGGTGATAAAGAAGACTGCAAGGCACAGGATTCCTGTCAGGTGGGTGTGACAACAAGTGAAACTCCAAGTTGTGCATTGAGTCAGGCAAGACAAGGCTCTCTCATTCCCATGCTGGTACCCTGAAGGAGGTGGTGGAAATGGCAGAGCTGGGGTCTGAGACTGAAAGAGAGAGAGGAAGAAAAAAAAATCATTTTTGTTAATTCCCCATTTAAACTAATGAATTATTGCTTTGGTTTTGTTTCTCTTTCTCAAAATTTCATGTTTCCTCATTTGCCAAACCTTGTCTTTCCAAAATTTATTCACTGGCCTCCCTGAAGAAGAGAAAAGAACTAAAATACGATAATCTGCCACATGAAAAGGTTGGACAATTGTGGCTTGGATCCTCATAAATGTGTGTCCAAACATGTAAATGCTCTTAATTTATTCCCATTTCTCTAACTCATTGGATAAGCCTAATGCTGGTGGACTTGCTCAATGGGATAAATGTTGTGCTGTTGCATTAGAACAGGATCTTACGAGGGTGGAGTTAAACATGTTTTCGAGATGGAGTACGGGGAGCTTTCCTCTGGACCTAGCAGCAGTATTTCCTGACCTGAGAGTAGGGAGATTATTTATTTTCATTGACCACATAATGAGCACAAATATGTCCATATTTTACAAAAGCAAACAAAAGTTTCAGAAACATTCTGCTATTCTGATACCTTCTCTGGACAAACGGTGCTTATGTTTCAGATTAAGGATCAGAGTTTGGACTGATGAAAGATCATTAGCCTGAAGCATTCAGTTTCTTTCTCCACAGATGCCACCAAACCTGCTGAGCATTTCCAAAATCTGTTTTGATTTCAAATTGCCATTTGCTTTTCAGCACAAATTATCCATGTTTCATCATTCCCTTAATTATTCTTTTACCCATATGCAGTTTTAAAATTCTAAGCTTACCTTTCCAAAAAACCTACTTAATTTACTCATAGATTCTTCCTCCTACACCCAGGTGTTATCCAGGGATATGATCAGCTCGTCATGTTGAACTTTTTACTTCACCGGTGTAATGTATTGTTACTAGACTACTGATCCATAGGCTGAGATCATGTTCTGGGACCCAAGTTTGGATCCTGTCGTGGCAGATGGTGGAATTTGAATTCAATTTAATAATCTGAAATTAAGAGTCTAATGGTGACCATGAACCCATTGCTGATTTTCAGAAAAATAATCTGGTTCACAAAGGGAAAGAAATTTGCTGTCCTTACCTGATCTGGCCTACAGGTGACTCCAGGACCACAGCAATGTGGTTGACTCTTAATTACCCTCTGAAAAATTAGGAATGGACAATAAATGCTATCCAAAAATAATCTCAAGATTATGCAGTTTAAAAAAACAGTCCTGAAAATTCTTGAAGTGTTAATTGTAACCTGACAATGTAGTTGTTGTATGGATGTCTTGTACCCTCAACAATGGTGAAATTTCTACCTATCGTTAAAGTCCTCATAGGCAGATGTTTCTCCATAGAAACATAGAAAATAGGGGCAGGGTAAACCATTCAGCTTTTTGAGGGCACTCCACCATTTCTTATGATCATGGCTGATCAGCCAACTGAATAGCCTGGTTTTGCTTTTCCCCCCAATATCCTTTGATCCCTTTGGACTGTAACCAGTCATCCACCTATTGGCTCCATCTATACTTCCCACTGCCTTGGGAGGAAAGAAACCACATAATACAAGACTCCTCCCACCCTGGCGATACTCTCTTTCACCTTCTGTCTGGCAGAATAAGTAAAAGCTTGAATACATGTACTGTCAGATTCAAGAACAGCTTCTTCCCCACAGTTATCAGACCTTTGAACGGACCTCTCAAATGTTAATGTTGATCTCACTCTCTACAGCTGTAACTCTATTCTGCTCTCTGTTCTGCTACACTGATGCACTTTATATGGTACGATCTTCCTGTATAGCATGCGAATCAATACTTTTCACTATATCTTGGTGTATGTGACAACAATAAATCAAATCAAAATCATACAGTATTTTGGCCTCAACCACTTACTGTAGTAATAAATTCCACAAGCTTGCCATTCCCTGGGTGAAGAGATTTCTTCTCATCTCAGCCCTAAAAAGTGGAGAAACTTCTTCAGTCAGACTGTGGTGAGCCTCTGGAATTGCAATTTACTTTATCACCAGGTATTGTGGTTTGAGAGGCTAAGGGTGGCAGGCAGGGAGAGAGTCTTCCTGTTTTTTGTCAGAAATTAATTTAAACTTCTCTGCTTTGATCTGCCGTAAAGCCGAGTTCCTGAAATACAGCTCATTTGTGCATTCCCTCCTCTGGCATCATTGTTGTTTTTCAAACTGGATAACGTGCAAGTGACTTCAGTTCTAATGTGTGAAACATCCAGAAAGGAACAAATAAAGATTAGGAAATAAGGGTTTCTTCGCTTCTAAAAATGTTTCAGTGCCTGGACCCAAAATGTTAACTCTGCTTTCTCTCCACAAATGCTACAAGATCTGCTGAATTTCTTGAGTAATTTCCATTTAAGTTTCAGTGCCGTTTGATAAACAGTTAATTTTGCCTCAGACTTTCTCTGAATATTTCATGTTGTTTTCAGGAGTTTAGCTCAACCTGGTCAGGTGACCACTACAATCATCTTAAGTCAATGTTTTACTCTTTTGTGAAACCAATTTAGTGCATGAAAGGTCTCGGGATCAAGCATCGGATGATAAAAGTTGAAAATTGATAGTCCATACTTGACCATTATTGTCACAAGGCTATAATAAACAATTTTTGTTTGCAGCTGCATTTGACAGCACTTAACTACTGAAATGCCTTCCATTTTGTGTAATCATACTTTGCTTTTATATTTCAGTTTTTTTTTCATCTTAGCTTTTCTTTCTTTCCCAAAGTGAAAAAGGCAATTGAGCTGAAGTCCAGAGGAGTCAAAATGCTTCCCAGTAAGGACAGTGATCACAAGAATTCTGTCTGTAAGTGACTTGCTTTTAACTTTTTGGTCATCACTTAGCTATGTATAAAGTGATTATCATCAAAAGTTTGCTTTGATTTAAAATTTTATTGATACTTTACAGAAAGCAAATTTATTTGAAGAACACAAAAGCACAGTATTTTTTAATAGAAAAGGTAATAAATTGTAAAATGCTGCAGTAGAGGACGATCTGGGACTTGTCTTGCTGCATGAAGCACATAAAGTTAGCACACAGATACAGCAAGTAAATTGGGAAAGCAAATAAATGTTGGCCTTTGTTCCAAAGGGAATGAAATCTAAATATAAAGAAGTGCTGTTATAGCTGCAAAGGACAGTTATGGTCCCTTTGTTGAAGAGGCACATGCATGCATTGGAAGAATATTAGAGAATGTGACTGATTTCACAATAAAGATGTAATCGCAGTAGGTAGGTTTGAGCAAGCTGGACCTGAACGCATTGACTTTTGAAGAACAAAAGGTGATCTTACTGAAACATAAGTGACACAGTACATGCTAAGAACATGTTACTACTTGTGAGGTCTCTCGAACTAGAGACAGTTTCAAAATAAGTGTCCTCCATTTAAACTGAAGATGAGATATAATTTTTTCTCCGAGATGGTCAATAATCTTTTCCCTCGTGAGCACTGGAAGCTAAGCCACTGAGTATATTCAAGATTGATTGAGATGAATTTTGACTGACAAGGAAGTTGAGAGTTATGTGAGACAAACAGCAAAGTCGGGGCCACAACTGGACAAACCATGACCTTCTGTCATGACAAAGCAGGCTCAATTGGTTGAACAGCTTATTCTTGCACACATTTTCTACAATCTTATGATCGGGCAGCAAACATTCCTAGCTTATTTAAATACTAACCTCATTAGGGCAGCATGGTGGCTCAGTGGTTAGTACTACTGCCTCACAGCACCAGGGTCCTGAGTTCAATTCTCACCCTCAGGTGTCTGTCTGTGTGGAGTTTGCACATTCTCCCTGTATCTGTGTGGGTTTCCTCTGGTGCTAGATTGTCTGTAGTGTTCAGGGATGTGTAGATTAGGTGAGTTATAGGGCGATGGGTCTGGATGGGATGCTCCAAGGGTCAGTGAGGACTTGTTGGACTAAAGGGCCTGTTTCCACACTGTAGGGCTTCTATGATAATTAGTTAAATTATGGTGTGCATGCATCATGTTTCTAATTGTTATAGATCCAAATTACTTTATTTTGTTTCCTTTCTGGTACAATGAAATATTGTCTTGAATAGATCTGGCAAACCGAAGTACCTGTGCAATAATTTATTGTGTTGAACTGATTTTTTTTTGTTACTGTAGATGACTTGGGACAAGGCAAACATATTTACAAGTCAATAGAAGAAAGTAAACTGTTTACCAATCATCTAGACATGGTTAAGGAGCTTTGGGTCAATAGTAATTTGTCATTTTTCATGGGAGTTAGTAAACTGACAAACAAAACAAATAATATCTTAGTTAGTCCCAGGTGGATTTACATAGGATGTGTGGTATTGGAATTTTTCATTTGGCCCACTCAATCCTTTCTGGTGTTTATGCTTCATCCTCCCTTCTTTAAAAATCTGAATCTATCATTGTAACCATTGGAAGACATGACCTTGTACCCTGAGAAGTTACTGTGTGGACACGAGAGGTATGGGAAATAATGGGACAACAGTCAAAACTCAGACCCCATTGACAATACTCCTGTCACAATGCACCAGTTACAATGCACTCAGTGAAAATGCACCTATTAATCACAAATATATGCAAAGTAATTATACATGCTATTACCCAGTGAGGAGCAATGCAAATCTCAGTGCAGTGTTGCAAGCATCACACATACCATTAGATTCAAGGAGCACAGTGCCAATCTCAGTGTTGATATGTAACAAGGGGAGGCAATGGCTTAGTAGTACTAATATTGGACTGTTAACTCAGAAACGCAGGTAATGTTTTCGGGGCCTTAGTTCGAATCCTGCCATGGCGGATGGTGGAATTTGAATTCAATAAATATCTGGAATTAAGAGTCTAATGATGACCATGAATCTATTGTTGATTGTCGATAAAAACCCATAATATTCACTGATGTCCTTTAAGGAAGGAAACTGCCATTCTTACCTGCTCTGGTCTACATGTGACTCCAGATGCTCAGCAACGTGGTTGACTGTTAACTGCCCTCTGGGCAATTAGGAATTGATAATAATTGATGGCCTAGCCAACGATGCCATCATCCTGTGAGTGAGAAAGAAAAACTGTGCCGAGAACAGTGCCCATGTCAGTGCACCCCCAAACTAACAAGATTTAGACTTTGGCTAAATTTAGATTTCAAGTGAGTCACAAAGTCTTTTAGTTGATCAATTATTAAAATATATTCTTGTTTAAAGGACTGATTGTAGTAATCTAGGAATTAAGAAGATAAATTTCCACATTGAATAAATTATAGATATAAAAAGTCATTGCATAATAATAAAGATTGGTTAAGGTGCTGACACAATAATTCTGAATTTGGTGGCGAAAGCAAGAGCTGCCAAACAAAGGAAGGATTTACATCTCAGCTCTCTTCTGCACTTCTACATTGGACGCAAGTGTATAGGAGAAAAGACAAGCAAAGTCCAGTGTCTTTTTCTGTGAGCAGTGAGTGAGTCACTGGATCATTTTCACATGACTATTTCAAAATGACATTTACTGTAATCTATAAATGTTTACATCCACAGAGGTGGGGCTGTGGGGTGTGTCTGTTCCGGGGTTGATGTGATGGGGTATGGGGGTGAGGAAAAGCAGGAAGTATGTAGTTTTATTTGATAACCAAAAGGATAAAAATACCAATTTTCTTTACAAGGTCTGATCAGCCAGAAGGCCCAGGTTTTGCTTCTCTGTTTTAGCAGTTTCTGATAGGGCTATGTAGGATTCCATCACATCCCTGTGATCTGGAAGGGCACAAGTTCACCAACATTCCATATCTTTAAAAAAAAACAAAATGGATCATTGCTGGTGTCTGGTGAAGACAGGATTGGGTTTGGATATGATGCACTCTGTGGTCAACTTCCACTACTTATTATTGCTGTCTAACAGAAAAATGTTGAACCTTTTCATTTTATACTCATCGGGACAATTTACAAGAAGAAAGAAACAAATGAAGAGAAAACAACACTCATATTGTGGGAGGAGAGTGCAGAATCATTGGCTTTGAATGCTAATTGATAGAGGTTTTCCATGGTAAATGATGACTGACAGTTAACTGCCAAGCTTTCTCTAAATTTTCTACAAGACAGGTTGACTCTGAATGGTCACGGCATTACCCTGAGAAATGAACCAGATTATGGTTGTCACCAAGTGTTACATTGAAACAGGTGCACTGCATATATATCACTCAGAAATAGTAAGAACTGCCGATAGTGAAGAATTTCTGAAAAAGGGTCCCGACCTGAAACGTCAACTTTCCTGCTCCTCTGGAGCTGCCTGGCCTGCAGAGTTCCTCCAGCTCCACACTGTGTTAGCACTGCATATAAATATTCTTTTTGTTTGCAAAGAACACTCTGTATTAATGTATGTAGTTTCCAGCTCACGTAAGTGTGCTGTACTGACTATCCATAATATATTATCATCATAATGTTTCACACTCTGGATTTTGTAACAAATTTAATTCACACTTGCTTGCATGAGGTACCAGTGTGTTAACAGGGCCCAAAGAACCATAGTTAAGTAAGAATCATAGTTAAGTATAAATCAATGCTTTCTGAAGAGAATGAAACTTAAAATTTTAATACATGTGTATATTCATATAGAACACTTAATTTTGGTTGTGTATGATTATGAATCTTAGCTATACATATTGCTTTGTAAAGATTCTGTAATATGCACACTGCAGAAAAAGTGAAAAAAACACGACAGATAATTGCACATTGGTTAGTTGTAAGCATAATGCAAGCTAGAGATGTGTTGGCTCTATACCTTTGTAGCACTTGAATCTCAAAATTCTTCACATGGTTTGTTATGGAATGTTACACTGGCTATTAAGTTCAGATGTTTGGTTCCATCCAGTGGTGATCTGAAAATTCCTTACCTTATCTGGGCTGCATAGATGACGAATTTGCTAGCTAATTTGCTATGCCAAGAGAAGTGGATATGTTAGCCTGGATTTCTCATTTCTAGAAGTGGACAGAGTTCTGTTTCGACAGATGACCACCCAGCATTTTATTAGTCCTATTTTTTTGGTATCCTTTCTGAACCTTGCACCAGCATCTGTCCATTTTTACTGATGGATGCACTCAAAAGCAGTGAAAATGGCATCATGCTTTTCCTGCCCCATTTATGTCTTACCTCATTTGTGCTTCTTTTTTTGTCTAGCAAAACACAGACATGCAGAGGACTGGAGAGAAAATAGGAGACAATCTGCAGAGCCAAATTTTTGTCATTGTTAGCAACAACTTTTGGCACATTATGACTTATTGCTGCCATTTACTTGTCATTTTCCTATATGCTGTTTGACCAAAGAGGCAGTGGATTTCTACAGAGAATTCTTTTCCAACATTTCTTTTCTTGAAGAAGAGAAGGAGCTGTAGATGAGTATAGTTTGGCATACGGTGCTTGAGATGCACAGCACCCACTTGCTGTTTCAAAAATCTAAAGAAAATTAGAGGAAAATGTTTGATTTGAAATATGGTGTGATGTGGAGCTGAAAAAATGAAAGCAGAGGAAAGAAATCAGATTTCTAGACAGCTTTGAGACATGGATTTGGACAAACATTGAGCAAACACAATGAATAGATGAGAAAAGTAATGAGGAACAATTGGCAATGATACAGAAAGAACACAGTTTGATTCATGCCAATAGAAAAAGACAAATAACTTTGATAGGATATATGCTGAGATGCTGAAAGTGGTGTTAGAAGGACAGATGTAGGAAAACACCCAGTGGGTCAGGACTTGCTTTTGGTCCTCTGGAAACCTTCAAGACTCAGCCTAATTAGATCATTTCCGGCTCTAAAGATAAAAAGGAT